GCCATTGATAATGCACCAGGAGGCCCATCAGTCTCGTCTGGAGGATCATGACCTACATTGATTGGGAATCCAGTTACTATAGCAACAGATGAAGCATGCGACACCCTTAAGGCTGCTTTAACCAGTTGACCAGCAGTGTGAAGATGCTCAATACCTCTTTTTCCAGGGTCATCTTGGACGAGGCTTTCAATATGATTGATTTGTTGGAAGGCATTGGTTCCAAGGACAGATGCATAGAACGGATTATCTTGTAGAGTAATGACCTTGGGCTGCTCATCGCCATGTGGTGGAGGCTTGTTTTTAAAATACTCCTCGGTAGTGATATCACAAATAAAAAGAGCGCCAGGCACAGAATGAGAGAAACATTGATCAGGTTCTGGAAATTTAATGACAAAGAACTTTAAGTGGTTATTCAAATATACAATAATTTTCTCAAAATAAACTCGACGCCTTGTGACTCAAAGTCGTGACTTTGATAAAAAGTTTTCAAGGATCATGTTGTCGTGGGCCTAGATGCAATACCTATTTCCAAGATTCCTGACCAAGTTTTAACCCTAGCTGGCCTGGTACGGGTGATTTTGCCCACGCTGATTTTAATGCTCATTGACTTTTCGATCACATAGCGAATAGTCACCAACCTCTTGACGTTTCCTGAATGTCATCTGGGAATCTTTAATTTTTAATATCGTATGCAATTTGACTATTTACGTTTCCCAGGTAAACAATTAACCGTCTTTTAAGTGTTATATTTTCAATGTCGTGTTAAAGTGTTTTTTTTTTGTGTGTGTGTGAAATAAATCATCAAGTTGTGTCAGAAATGTCCACGGACTTCTGGTTGTGCAAATTATGTCATAACCGGCTGGACACGTCATTAACATGGAATTATGGAATAAGTTTGAAATATGTTAATTTTGACACAGCATCTTTTTACATCTCCATCATAGACCATCATTATTAATTAATATCATTGATACTATAAATCATCGATGTAAAGCTGTGAAAAGAATTTGTTTGTTATGTACTTCGAACCTAAATAGATTCGTGATTAGTACAGGAAATCGTGTTCCAAATTACCGCTGTGTTACTTGATTACAGACTCATTTGCTCAGGCTTAGCCTCGATTTTGCGAAGAATATTCCCGTTTTCCAGTCAAGGTCCGTCAAATTTCAAAGTGCTCGTGTTGTTGAAGTTGTACATTCTTTACTTTACCGTTGGTATTTACGAGCAATTAGACACTGATTCGAGGATTAGCCTGAGCAAATGAGTCTGTAATCAAGAAACACAGCGGTAATTTGGAACTCGAAAAGGGTCCATTCGGAATATATAGGTACGAGTGATGTTTTGAAAATTTTCAAAATTGGACGATCCTTTAAGCAAGTCCAATTTGAGAACTTTCAAAACATTGCGAGTATCTATAAATTCCGAATTGTACGAGAAGATTGTGCGATAAAACACTCAACAAAATCGATAAACTTAATCAGACTCTACAGAGTACAATTTGGGATTTAATTGTACTCCTCTTGTCCAATCAGAATCGAGTAACTTTGTTAAGTGTATTATAATGGGCCTAATAGGGCCGGAGGTCCTGCAAGGTTCACGAAGAAAAAATTCCATGTCTAATAGGGTTAATCCTCTTTTACAAAGTAATGGAGGAAGCCGACCGAGTGAATCATAGTAATGCTGACCATCGGTAGTGGATTATTAGAGGACACCATGCGTGCACGTCTAATAGTCAAATCAATAAATGATGTTCCATTCTAAACATTATCTACTAACTTTCTGATTTTACTGCTAGTGTTCCTGAGTGACCGCAAGCCCAAAACAATGGAATTTGTCCATCATCAAAATGCGAGGGGTCTCCAAATTCCGGTTGGAGAATGTCTGCAATACCAATCTTTGATGGATCCCAATATGTATTGGTGCTCCATGAACTGCATCATATCTTGCTGTGATGGCTACAGCCTTTTCAATAAGATCTTTTTTAATGGGTCTCATAGATACGACCATACCAGGGCAGCTGAACCTTCCAGCAGGCATGCATTCTATATTTGTTATAAACATGGAACAATCTTTTCCTTCTTCCACATTTCGTATTGGGACACCATTCTTTAGCAAAGCGTCTTGAAAAGAAAAACTGCATCCGGTGTAGAAAGTAACCATGTCATGCCAAGGGTATTCGATCAGTTGACAAGTTTCATATACGTGGTTAGCACCCATCTCTTTATTGTGCTTTACGACTTCGTATCTTGTTAGCGCCTTTCTGCAACGACCATCAAAAATTCAAAATTATTCATGTAGGACAAGTTTTTTAAAGCTTTTGTTTTAGTGAGGTTGCTTAAAGCAAAGGTACAATCCGGAAGAAAGGACCAAATTTGGTACAGAGCTCCCTTATGTCATTCAAAAACAAATTCAGAAGGGGTGCCAGTGATTTCCGTATCAGGGGGTAAATTTTCGTTGGAGAGGGAGGGGTGGGTCATATGTGCATGTCTTCCATAGCATTCTTTGTTATTACCCTTCAGAATTACAACTGAAAATACCCCCTGATAGCAGATTTCGTGCACCCCTTATAAATATGATCTACAGGGCCTAAGTTAACTCTGAGCCAAATTTCATGCTTTGTCTCTAACAATATTGTCAAAAACTGACCTTAAGCCACCTCACTATTTGTCGCTACTAAGCTATAAAACAAATTGAACACTGATTCCACAACTAAAAATAAAAAGGGGGTGTCAGCAAGTATTTTAAGAAAACCAAATAACGAAAAAAATCATAAGGCCACCATTATTCGAGACACAGAAACCTAAATTATACACGTAGTCTCTTATATGCCACGCCAGGACCGGTTGTATGAAGGTTGGATTCCGCTATCCGATGGTTAAATCTTATCCAGTGGATAAATTTATTGGATATCACCATCACTTCGGAAATTCCAAAGGAAAAAACCTATATATGTATTTGGTTTTTTTTTTCGTTGTTTTATTAAGAGCAGAGCTTAGCAGAGCAGAGCAGAGCAGAGCAGAGCAGAGCAGAGCAGAGCAGAG